AGAACCTAGCGGCTTTTCCCTCCCATGGAAACTATGGTCCACTTTGAACCACAGCTGCACATCACAGGGTAGATGCACATACCCCCTCCATAAAGGGTACTGAGTGTCAGGGGGGTTTCAGTTTGCATCTGAAGTGGGTTTTTTACCCATGAAAGATTATGCCCACATATATCTGTTAGTCTTTAAGGTGCCACCGGACTCCTTGTTGTTAAAGGGTACTGAGACACAATCCAATTTGTGACTGCGGAAACAGATTTGAAACTATGGAACATCTTGTCAACCATACAGTGTTCCAGGTAATCATGTCCTGGTCATATCTCTGCCATCCATTCTGCAAGTCCTGAAGCAATCAATTGGATTGCCATCATAGACTTGAACATATAACATTGCTGGTGTTAAGTGATACGAAAGAAGTGGCTTTTTCCCCAGTAAAAGTACATTGCCAATTCTAACGAGAGTATATAAATTGGTTGAATATTAAGAGCTTAAAAGCTTTGAAAGGATTCATTTCCGGGCAACCATTTTCCTATATAAAAATCACTCAAACAGAACTAGGGCAGGGTTCTAGGCAGGTATTGTCTAAGATAGGCACCATTGTAAATGCCATAATTAAGGCTTTATACAGACTTCCATTATAATGCCCTGCTTTCATCTGCCTGCAATGTTCTCATTTAGTTTGCTTTGGAGTTGAAACATTCTATGCTTTGTTTGAGTGCAAAAGCTCCTCAGAAAGGATGAAGTAAATTCATTCAGCAGCTTTTTAGTTACCTAAGTGAGTAATTATATACTACTTATGCTTTTTTAAAAAATTGAGGTTTTTGCACATGCATTAGTCCAATGCCCAAAATGCTAAATCATTAACTATGGCTAGGTTTTAGGAATAATCTAGATAATAGGAATAATCAAGTAAATCTCTTAAATATGAAGATATGAGTAAGGCTACAATTTTGTCACAGACATCAAGGTGGTCACAAAAATTGTGAATTTTAATAGACAGTAAAATACCCACAGACCCAGTAGCATTATGACCTAATGCCATACCACCATTCAGGTTTGCTACGTCCACCCCTCCGGAGATGGAGATGGAGGAGCAGGAGACAAATTTGTGCAGCGTTGCAGCCCCGTGTGCTATGTTGCAATGCAAATCCAATTTGGTCCTCAGCCCCCTCCATTTCCATCACCGGAGGAGCATACAGGCCAACCTGAGTGGTGCTGTGACCCCATGTGCTGGATCATAATGCCCAGAGTAGGGAGCCAGGTCCAACCCCAGGGGACAGGAGCCAGTACTGCAGGGTGAGCTCATTCTCTAACACTGTACATCCCTATGATTATCAGTGGTTCACAGTCATGCTGAAAGGGCATAACGAGTGGGGTCCCGTAGGGATCAGTTCTTGGTCCGGTTCTGTTCAATATCTTCATCAAAGATGTAGATAATGGCATAGAGTACACTTATAAAGTTTGCGGACAATACCAAGCTGGAAGGGGTTGCAAGAGTTTTGGAGGATAGAATTAAAATTCAAAATGATCTGGACAAACTGGAGAAATGGTCTGATGTAAATAGAATGAAATTCAATAAGGACAAATGCAAAGTACCCCACTTAGGAAGGAACAATCAGTTGCACACATACAAAATTGGAAATCATTGCCTAGGAAGGAGTACTGAAGAAAAGGATCTGAGGGTCATAGTGGGACCACAAGCTAAATATGAGTCAACAGTCTAACACTGTTGCAAAAAAAGCTAACATCATTCTGGGATGTATTAGCAGGAGTGTTATAAGCAAGACATGAGAAGTAATTCTTCTACTCTACTCCGTGCTGATTAGGCCTCAACTGGAGTATTGTGTTCAGTTCTGGGCGCCACATTTCAGGAAAGATGTGGACAAATTGGAGAAAGTCCAGAGAAGAGCAACAAAAATGATTAAAAGTGTAGAAAACATGACCTATGAGGGAAGATTGAAAAAAATTGGGTTTGTTTAGTCTGGAGAAGAGAAGACAGAGGGGATATGATAAGTTTTCAAGTACATAAAAGGTTGTTACAAGGAGGAGGGAGAAAAATTGTTCTTCTTAACCTCTGAGGATAGGACAAGAAGCAATGGGCTTAAATTGCAGCAAAGGAGGTTTAGGTTGGACATTAAGAAAAACTTCCTAACTGTAGGGTGGTTAAGCACAGGAATAAATTGCCTAGGGACATTGTGCCATCTCCATCACTGGAGATTTTTAAGAGCAGGTTGGACAAACACCTGTCAGGGATGGTTTAGATAATACTTAGTCCTGCCTTGAGTGCAGGGGACTGGACTAGATGACCTCTCAAGGTCCCTTCCAGTCCTATGATTCTATGCCCCACCCCCCACTCCTCCGCTTTCCCTGACAAAGATTCCACAACAGGGAAAATGGCTATTAAAAATGTCCATGACAAAATTGTAGCCCTACTTATGAGCCATTAAAAAAGGGATTTGGACAGATAATCGCTGGTCTACACTGAGAACTCACATCGGCGTAGCTATGTCTCCCAGAGGTATGAAAAATTCACATCTCCACAAGACATAGCTATGCCAGCCTAACCCCAGGTGAAGTCAGTGCTAGGTCAATGGAAGAATTCTTCCGCCAAACTAGCTACCATCTCTTGGGGAGGTAGATTACCTATGCTCATGGGGAAACCCTTCCTGTCAGCATAGATAATGTCTACACTGAAGCACTACAGCGATATAGCTGCAGCAACAGTTTAAGTGAAGACACCGTAAATTTCCTATTAAAGTTACGCAACTCTACAGAGCCACAATTACTGCCAAATAAATGTGTAACTAGCGAGTGACTGCATTTAAAATAGATTTGGGCAAACGATTGCCCACATCTATCAAAAACTAAGTTCTCTAAAATAAAAAGCAAAATGCAAAACAAATTAAACTATGACATACAATTTTAAGGAAGCCATGTAATGCAAATGTTAAGGCAATGTGTAGTAACATTTTTGCTTACTAGTCAGACTGTTAAACATTAACCTGAATATGTTGTGTGAGAGAGTTGATTGTTTGCAGTGTTGGTTTAGCTGTATTGGGCCCAGGATATGATAGAGAGAAGGTGGGTGAGTTAGTATCTTTTTTTGGACCGACTTCTGTTGGTAGAAGAGACAAGCATTTGCGCTTTTCAGAGCTCTTCTTCAGGTCTGGAAAAGGTAACTAGTGTGTCAAGATGGGACAGATTAAGCACAGAAACCACTTAAAATGAAGGGGTAATTAACATCTCTGCATCATAGGACAAAGGAGGGTTAATAGGTTACAAGTTGTTGGAATGAGTCATAAAACTAGCAAGTCTGTTGAGACCTCTCTCTGAGGAGAAGGTCTACATTTAAAAACCTGGACCACTGCAGTGCTTTACTAAAAGCTTCTCCTGACGGTGTGGTTAATCCACCTTGGCCAGTGGGGGCCCATATAGTGTTGTCTACACCGGGGGTTAGATCGGTATAACTGCATCTCTCAGGGATATGGATTTTTCACACCCCGGAGTGATGTAGTTATATCAATGTAAATTTATAGCGTAGACTTGGCCTGAGTTAAGATTCTCAGTGGCATTAACTTTTGCATTTCCTGACATGTTTATATTGACATTAACATTGCATTTATTATGCTTTTAATAAGCTTTATAATTAAAAATTTAAGTGAACTGGTCAGGACTCAAATATTTGGACCCTTAAATTGGATAGCATCATCTCACTGTACGCAAGTCATCCAAACATTGGCCTATCCTATCAAACTAATTTTTCCCCACCCAGTTGCCATATACTTACGCTCCAATACATCTGTTAGTCTATAAGGTGCCACAGGATTCTTTGCCGCTTTTACAGATCCAGACTAACACGGCTACCCCTCTGATACTGAAGCAGGTGATCTTTTGATTTAAAGAATAACAGAAACAAGTTCAGTGTGTGTGAACTCCTTGAAAAGTCATTTACCATGCAGGTCAGAAAGGCAATGCACTTTTACAGTGGATGGGTGGTTAGGAAATCAAATTGTGCCCCACCTTGAAGCTTCCTCTTTTTGTTCTTTACTCCCAGACCACCTCAGGACTTCTGACTTAGAGATTGAACACTACTCCCTCTGGAACTTAATATTATGGGAGTCAGAAAGAAAGGTTCCCTCCTTTCCTGTTGTCCATCCTGGTCTAATTCACTCTTGTCATGCTATAATAGTTTTTGTTCAAGAAATGAATCCATCTCTAATGTTAATGAGTTACACAAATGGAAAGAACTACCTTGACCCTGATGATAGATTACATTTTCCTGTTTTATGCAGTTTTTTTTAATGCTCTAAGCAACAAGGACTCCTCCACTTCCTTTGCTGGGGCTGCGCCATGTGTGTTCACCCAGTACTGTTCCTTATTACGCCAAAGTATGTCTTTGCCCTCTTCAGATACTTGTATATAGGTATGTTTCTCCCCTCGTTCCATTTAGTAATATAGCTAAGCTATACCTCTGTTCTTTTATATTTTTTGTCAGTCCGTCACTTCTTCCATCCCTTTAATCATTTGTGTTTTACTTCGATTTACACTAGTTTGCAAACATTTTTCTGGTGTTGAGGTGCCTTGAATTAGTTCTGCTGAATACTGCAGCTGGAAACAGAGATTGGCTATGGTAGTCCTGCTCTGCCTTACACTCTCTTGCAACTCCAGTTGCAAGAATCACTCAGCTTCATTAATCATTTCCACTCCTAAAACAATGTTTAGTTAGGTGTATTAATGTATGTTCTTAGGGCAGATTTTGGTATTACATTAATGAATTTAGTAGTTATTTGATAATAGCTATAGTGAACACAAAGCTTCCAGTTTGGATGGGATCCAAAGCCCACTGGAGTCTTTCTGTTAAGTTCAATGAGCTTTGTAGGGCCTAATCCTGCACACTCAGGCAACTAGCTCTGGCTGCAGTTGATGGAATTGCTTGCATGAGTAAAGACTGCTCATATGAGTAGCAGTTAAGACCTACATAGTTTTCAAAAAGGATTAATAAATTGAACATCATTAGAAAGTGTTTTATTCATATCTTACAAAACAAAGTTCCACAACATGAACTACACTAGATATAGTCAAGTTATTTCAGAATTAACCTTTGTTTTCTAAAACCAGCATCACTACACAATAAAACTTGTTTTACAACTAACTCAAGTCTCATCTTTTGCATACAAAATATGCTCTTTACATTGAAATACACATTATTAACAAAGCAGGAACTAGAAGCACATACGCTAAGATTGCTCAGTGAAAAATGCCTCAGCAGGGACTTGTTTTTTCTGCAACAGAACATCTGTTGGCTATGTATTTTCACAGAAACTTAAACTGATGGGAAACTTGCCAGTGACATTCCCTTTGTCAAGGAAAAAAAATCCATAACAAAAGCATGTCCAACGTAGCTCAAATTCTGCTATGAAACGATGTCAGAACATGTCTTTTCCAGAACGGAGGGCTGTATGTTAAAATACAAATAAAATTTTATGCAAAAGTCATCTGAAGCAAAACACTGCATTGCAAAAATCAAATTATTCCGTTAGTTGCTTCACAGTTTATTTTAAATATTAACTGAGATCATTAATCTCCTGCCAACATCTTCAATCCAATATTTGACTGATCGTTGAACAGAAAATCCTCAGAATCAGATGTCTGTATTAAGAGTACGATAAATAGTGCATGTTAAAAATTGTCCAACAGATCTATAAAATATTCCATAACAATAAAAACAAAGTAACACAAAGCTAATGTTTTCCAAATATAGAACTTAAACTGTGGAAAAATTTCAACTCATATCCTGAACTGTCCTTGTTCATACAAGTTAAAAGCTAAACAGCTCCTTATAAAATGTTATAAGGATTTGTTTTTAAAGTTAGTGCAGATTAGCACATTTAGAACTCACTATGAAACAATTTTACTAATCTAGGACCTGATCCCACAAATCCTTACCGACAAGTATTTCCTATTGACTTTGTAAGAATAAGGCCTACTTGTGAGAATAAAGGTTTGCAGAGTCACAACCATAAACAGCTTTGCAATACTAATTGTGCTCTTTATTTTAAATTCTAGTAAATATTAGAATATATACAATTTTAGTACAAAATTATGAAAAACTACAATTTTAATAATAAAACTGAAAATGCACCTTCCAAACATACTTAGTAGTCAGAAGGAAATAAGTATAATCAAATCACTGTTTGGCACAACAGAAAACACAGTAATATGCTTTTTATTTTTAAGCAACCTAAGGTCCCAATCCTGAAATTGAGTCTGCCTGGAGCACCAGTGAAGTTAATGAAGTCCACCCCACAGACCCTGTTGTAGGAGCAGGGCTTGAATGCCAAATCCTGCTGAGTATTTCCATTGCAGTCAATGGGGCTACTTGCATGAGACCAGCAGTATCTGGCTATAACTGTTATACATTTTTAAGAGTTAAAGCTTGAATTCTCTTTTTTTAGTTGCCTTGGGTACTTTGCTGAAGAGTAGACAATTTACCATTATCCAATAGCATCAAAATATGCTATGCAGGGTCCACAAGTTTTCAAAATTTCATACTACTTTTTGTTAGCCCACACTATTTATTGTCATGTGGGCCATCTTCCAATGAAGGCCCCCTTTGGAATTGGGCTAGGCAGGCTTCCTCTTATTTCTCGCTACTTCTGTGGGTGTCCTGGCTCTTCATTGTGGCCAATGGACCAGGTTGGGAACCATTTTGTTAGAGTTCCAAGGCATGTTTTCTAGATATGTGTTGATTCAAGTACTGAATGGTTACGGGGACTACCAATGCAAACCTCTAGGCCTAAGCATCAGAACAAGAATAATGAAGGGAAAGATAAAAGCCTCTAAAAATTCTGTAGGATTTGGAGTGATAGTTTTGCCACTGTCTTCAAAGGGAGTGGGCTCAATTGTTTGTATATTTTCAATCAGCAAGCGGTTGTGATGTGCAACTTCTACTACCCAATATTCAGACTAATGTATGACAAGTGCTACTACAATTCCAACTGAGAGTATCTGGTTAAAAACTAAACAGATTTAATGGCTTCCCCAAAGTTCCAAAAGCCTCAAGAAAAACAAGTAGTTTAGGTTATTTGGTATAGCATAGTATCAAATGTTTTCCTTTGTGGCTAGTCAAACTACTAGCTTTTCTAAACGTCTTTAACAGCAACGATTGCATTTTGGTTTAAATACAATACCCATGCTTCAGCTGATGTTAGATCGAACCATAAAGTATGCAGACAGCTGACCAATAAAATGATCTCTTCAGAATGTATTTTTTCCCACTCACTATTGTTTGTATAAAAAGCTCAGTTTACAGAACCTGTACAAGAGCAACAGTCAACTAGATTAAATGTTGAATGAACTGTAGTGCCACCCTCAAAATGACAATAGATATTCAAGTGTATGATTTCAGATGTCTAGGTCTCAGTTTATGCACAAGTATGGTGTAACTGTAGAATTGTTCTGTTTGTGAAGTGTAAGTTTAAAAAAAGCAATTCTAATAAAAGGTTAGTTAATTTTTATTACATTAAAATTTATAGTCGCTAAACAAATGCATTCTCCAAATATTCTTGAGTTTATTTATGCAGAAATTAATTAAGAGCCTTCCATTTATTAAAATCCCACTGAAGTCAATGGATTTGGATCAAGCCCATAGCCAGGAAGTTTCATCTCTGATATTAACTAGTGGCATGGGGTGAATTATATGGCCTAATAGACATTTTCTACACTCAATCAGCCACCACAAGTTACATACCTACACAACTCACTGGCTATTGTAAGGATAAAAATAGTCTCATGCTAGACAAATCTGTAGAGTCGTGCACTCAAGACCCAAATTTATAATTAAATAATGAAGTGAAAGAAAAGCTCCCAATACCACAACTCTTCTTTCTCCAAGGGTCTGATCCAAAGCCCACTGAAGTAAACAAGAGTCTTTCAGTTGACTTCATTAGATTTTGGATCTTGCTCCAGGACAACAGAAGTTTTTGGACAGACCCCCTACATCTGACATTCAGATGTCCCGTGCGGAAAAATCCCCCAAAATGTTAAGGAAGTAAATCTTGTACCTACTGACCACAAAACATTCACTCTTATCTTGTATGTCTATGTTCACCTGTGTAGTAAAAAACAAAGCAAAAAAACCCACACTTGTCTTGCAACAAGTAGTACAAAATGAAATAAAGTCAAAGTGAATTGCAAAATACAGAGAAAGTTACGTTATTCACTTTTCTGAAACATGACAAATTCAGGTGTTGTAATACCTAGTGCTTTTACAATGATCAAGATTTACAATATAAAAAATAGTTACTCCATACAGTGGACGGCATGTACATCTTCAGACAGTATTTGCCAGTCACAGAATTAATCACAGCTCCACACTGTAGCCACCAATATTCCTCTGCCTACCTTCCCCCACAAACAGTGGAGGAAAAAAAGATGGCCATTTGAGCAGGTCCAGAAGGTTAAAAAACCTCTGGTAGGGGCTCTGGTAGACCACAGACAAAGAGAATTCCATGTTAGCTGCAGTTTATATAGACTAGAGTGTGTAACTTTCAAACATATAGGCAACCTAGCAAGACAGTTAAAATACATTGTTTTTCTTTTTAAAAAAATTAAAATATGGCCTCTATTTATGTATTTAATAACCTTTAAGTGGGAATGTCTTGACATTTTTTAACAATGAAAACTGTCCTCATGCAAAGCTGTCTATTGTCTATTTCTCATTTAACCTCTTTTACCAAAGCCTCATTCATAGTGTGTGTATATTTTAAAGGTACCTTCAAGTTTTCTTCATATCTATAAAACTGCTCTTTTTTTTTCTTTTTTTTAAGAAAAAAAGAAAAGGCCTAGCATAAAAAAAACTTTAGAATTCACTAAAACTCAGATGAAACTGACAAATTTTAAATTGTATGTGTCCATGAAAGTGTATTCTTTGCTGTGAGTTAAAGATTTTATCCAGTTTGGTAAACAGTTAGTTTATAAGCATTAATATGGTTTTCATATTAACCATACATTTCACTGTATTAACAACTTTTACTATATTTTAGGTACCAAGACTTCTTATCTTGTTCAATATCTAGTCTGATAGGTTGCAATTTATGTTTAAGGATGCAATCTGGATTGGCATTTGTAGAATGTTTTTCTGGATCTTAAGTGCACATAACTTAAATGTAACAAACATAAAACATGTTACTGCACGCCAATCCTCATAACTTTATTTTAAACAATGACATAAAACTACCACCTCCATGACTCAAATATCCCTGGCATATTTTATGACAACATGAAAAGAATTTTGCCTCCATTGTCAAGTTGTTTATTAGATTTCTTGTTGGGGATGAGCAAGGTCTCCTTCAGCAAGTATGAAACATATGTTAAAAAAAACTAAATGAAAGCATGTTTTCAGTCAATGTTGGTTATGTTGACCTCTTGCAAAATGGCAAGCAAAGTCATATTTATTTTTACATTTGCACCCACATATGTTGCACTGAAAAGGATTTTCAAACCCATGACATCCCATGTGAATAGTATAAAGGATATTGTCTGCAAAATACATGTCACAGTGCTGGCAGTGATGCAGAAGCTGAGGATCCTGAACTGGAAGGGTTGGAGCTGGAGTACTTGGCTGACTGTTACTTATGCTAGGAGTACTAGTATGGACGCTGCGATCACTACTTGGACCTGCCACTGGACTGTAGTTTCTTTGACTGTGTGGGGGCCGAGGATCTGGGCTAGTAGGAGATGAACTTTGAGGAATATTTGTTGACACAGATGAAACTACTGCTGGTGCAGTAGGTTGCTGTATTATAAAAGGCTTTTCATCTTGGCATGGTACAACATCAGGAGACGCTGGGTTTTGGTTTTCAGGCGGCAAGCTAGACAACTGTCCTGCTAATGTTGATAGCTGATTTAATGGATTGTCTATCTTAAGGTCTTGTGGATCTCTCGCCAGGCCACCAGTCTGTGTTGTTTTTGTCATGCTTTCATATGCTTCAGTCTGAATATTTGGGATTTCATGGGTGAAATCATTAAGGTAGTCTGGCTTCTGAACCACCATGGAAGGTGGGCTCAAATTAATTAATGATCTTCTGCTGTATCCCAGATTGCTGGTCTTCTTCTGCAAAACCCCCCACATTTTCTTGCTGCTCAGGGAAGACCTAGTACCTTTTATAGGTACCATTTTATGCTTGCGTCTACGATGATGAGACAGGTTACTTCTGTCACTGCAGCGGAAGGAACACAATTCACATTTATATGGTTTTTCACCAGTATGTGATCGCATGTGCGCTTCCAGATGACGTTCATAGGCTGATGCAAATGGACATAGATGGCATCTGTGTGGCTTTTCACCTGAAAGAGAGAAAATTACAGTGTAACAATTTATGTATACTTGTACAAAGCAGCCTAACAGAACATGGAAGAGAGTGAATGTATGTGGGGGCTACTAACTGAATAGAGCATTTCATTTTTTAATCAACAGTTCAAATCCAGTCCAACTCACTGCTAATGGAAGGTTGCAGGGTGTCATAAGTGAAATGAGTTTGGAGGTCTCCTCCTGCTTTCAGTAGGCAAGTTTAAACTTTAGAAAAGCCACCACTATTACTACAATTGACACTAATTGAGACCCTTGTTGCGGAATGGTGCGAAAATATGAATGGTATGTAGTCTGAATAATACTCACACCTCTAGAAGTGCTTTGTCCAAAATGGGTTTGAGGCATGTAGGCAAGACAGCATGGCAAAGCTTGTTCAGTTACCTGCCATAGCTTTATTTGTTTTATGAATAACTACGCTTCAAATTGAGGTTTGCAGTGTTATCAGTCTGCCTTTTTACAAGCACCCACGTGGCTTTCAAATTTAAGAAAAATATAAGGACAAGTTTTTAGGACCCTGTGGTTAAATTAAAAAAAAAGTAAACTATGCCCCTGTAGAGTTAAGTGCTGTGTCACGGAGATGCAATTCTCGAGACACCCCTAACATCCAGCCCCCACCATCATGGAGTAGAACTGCACTGGTTACACTGTCTGGGGAGGTTCTGTATTCAGGAGGCTGGAGCTAGATTTTGGCTTTTTAATGATGCCAGCTGAGCTCTGGTAGAATACCAGATATCATGTAGGCTCTATCCTCACTAATGCATTTAAAGTGTTTGAAAAACCATTTTCAAACATGATTACAGGAAACACATTCGTAACAGTACAGTCGGCGCCTATGATCTTTCTTTAAGATAGAGAGATCCTTCAGAGTTGTTTAGATGAAACCTATTCATTTGATCCAGAATGTTTCAAAAGCCCAAAGGTTTTAGTGCTTTGTGTTCTGGGAATTAAAACTCCAGATTTATGCTAGTAAAGAGGCTTAATGCCCTGCTGATGGTACTGATATCGTTAACTTCATAACTAGAATTATAGACCAGCTTCCAGGAAGGTGCTGTTCCATTAATTCTTCTACAAAGGGGTATAACAGACTCCAGGGTATAACAGGTGTGACCTCTCTGTCCTTGGCACTAGGGAGAATAGCCTTAACTTTCTCTCTAAAGAAGTTTCCACAAACTGACTTCCAAAAAGGAGTTATGTGTCTGCAGGCATCTACCGTTGATCTCGCATTCATACAAGATTGTAGGATGCGTGCATCTGCTGCTCCCAGATGAGAATTTTTATGTTCATATTTCTCCCAGGGGATATTTAGTTGGTTTTCTGCCAGAATTCAAACCAGTATTTTCTCAAGCAGGACTGGTAATCCCGATATAGAAAAATTGGGAAACTTTCCAGTGACAGGCATCTTATTGCTTAGTATCACAGCTTGGGACACTCAACTGTGATTCTTTCTTCTAGCCAGACCTGCTTTACCACCAGCTTCAGAAGAGAAGCGCAAGAAAAAGCAGTGGCAGCCCTTGGTGTAAGGTACTTTTGTACTATCTTTTCAGAGGTTGGCACGTGTTCACCAACTGGGACTGGATATCTGTAATAAGCATACAATTTATACCAAGATTAAGCAAACAATCACATAAAGACAGGAGGGGACACTGAGCACTGGAATGCCACCCCTGAAAGATAATTTAACAGCTTTAAAATAAGAGTTATGGGAGGTTCCACTATGAAATGGAAGCATGGTGGAAGGGAGTAGGGCTCTATTGTAATTTATACTTTTTGGAGAATGGAAATTTTCAGTTTACTAACTGATCTTTAGTACTCAAAAATGCCTTCATTAATTTTAGACACTGTGCTTTTCTTGTAAAATTGGCCTACAGGCAGATATTTCAACATTATCTTCTAGTAATAAAATATAATTTCATGTACTAGTGTAAGCAAAATATTTACTCAGTTTCTTGGTTTATACTTAGTGTTTGATTGAGACCATCACAACAACAAGAGCTATTCTCTAAGACCCAAAACCCTGCCAACATTTACGCATGTGCTAAAAACTTTACCAGAAGGACTAGTCCCATTGAAATCAATGCAACAATTTATGAGAGTAAAGCTAACCACACACATAAATGCTTATAGGATTGGGGCCTAAACAAGCATTATGAAAATACAGCACCTAATCTTTTAAAAAGGGAAAAATCTTTAAGAAATCCCACAGACTTTGCTTACAATTGAGGAAAGTGGTCATCACTAGGACACTGTTTGAAGATACATATGCACATCTGCAAAGCCTATGAGTGAGCTAGTTCCATATACACCGAGCATAGACTACAGAGGCACTGAAACACTGCCCCACAGCAAAGTACTGTAGAATCCTTCATACCTGTGTGAATTCTGATATGCTCTATAAGCCGTGCTGTTCCTTTGCTGGCATAGTTGCAATATCGACACTTCAGTTTTCCATCAAATGTCCTTTCAAACCCATCCACTAACATTCCTGAGTTTTCATCCAGTGAAACTTCAACAGAAGGATGATCTAGTCCATTCTGATCACCATCTGCTCCAGCTATAAACAGTAAATGCAGTAGAGATTCTGACTGAGAATCACTGGGTTGTTGCTTTTTGTTACAGTGACACTAGTCCAAACTTCTTAGCTCCTTATTCCCCTAACCCCCACACAAAAATAAACTAATGAGAAATAAGTTTTGATGAAAAATGTTTTTTTACAAAAGACTTCCCCCAAAGATTCTACAGCTTTACAGACTAGTATAGTAGCCTTCATAATAAGCATGTTCAAATGCAAACATCAGCACAATCACCCCCCCAAAAAACTAGAATACTTGACAGCACTGAAGAGAGCCTACCTCCCTGAAGGGCATCTGCTTCATTGTCCCCACTAACAGATCCAGAAATCATATTTACATGGTGTGTCTGTTGAGTAAGATATTCCTGAAAATCTTTTACAAAGTCCAGAGGCTCCGGTTTCTTTTCACCCATATTCACACTTTGAGTTTACAATAACTTGTGCCTAGAAAAAAATCAATCAGAATCAGAGAACATTTTACTGAATTTGAAACAAAAGAATTCACATTTACCGAAACCACTGTAAATCAAGGATGACATCTCTATAGTCTTGTTAAATAAAATGCATATGGTCAAAAGTAAAATACACATGAACAGACAATCATAAGAGTATTGTTGAAATCTTTACAGCAGCTCAATGCTATTTAAAGATCTCAGATAGTCACAGTTGGGAAGATGGTTCTCAGCAACAGTATTATAAATACTTTAAATTTAATAAAATGATGTAATAAAAGTCAAAGTTTAGTTGACTATGTGGACACGAGAACAAATTTCAATCTAACCTTACCATTCAGTTCAGAAATATTAAATAATCTTTACAAAGGTTTAGATTCAAAGAGAACATTTTTTGACATTCCAGATGATTTTTTTCTTAAATGCCGAGATTTGACATCTTAGCACGGAAGGAAATTTATTGTAAAGAAGAGACTTCTTGCATTGACAATTTTATACTGTAATTGTTCTATAACTTAAATTTTATGTTCAGAAATAATATTTCTCACGGACTTAAAGTTAGGCACATGCACAGTTATGGTTCATGAAATAATGAACCATAACTATGCATCACAGTACATTCAAGACTGTCAAGAATGTTCATCATCATCTGGCAAGGAAAATTATATTTTGATTTATTCAAGTTTCAAATCAGCAACTGAGGGGAACAGATTTCAGAGGATGAGAAATTCCAAGTTTTCAAGCGTCAAATTTGGTGTTCAACGCATATTTTCTGTTAGTGTTATAAAAATCGTATACATTAGAGGGAACTCATTCATTAAGAAGAGCTAAATTACAAAACAACGTTTAATCTTAAAGTCTCTGAGATTTCAAAGTAGTACTGATATTATTACAGTACCATCACTTTCTCAAAGTTTCAAGTAACTTGGATACATTTTACTTTTTTTGGTAAAGAAACCCATTTCACATCCAATAGTAAAGCTTACGCCTCTTACCAACAATATGAATTGAAGTAGTGAGTCTAGCACTCTACTCATCTGTAAATTGGACATAAAAACCCTACCTACATTAGTGGTTTTGTGAGACTAAAGAGAACTGATTATTTCACTGCATTAGATGACTAAAAAATTTCATTTAATGTATATTAAAGAAATTAAAAGTCTATACGTAAAAATACTTGGAGACTTGAAAAATCTTCACTGACATGAACTGAGCAGCTCAGCAATGCCTGAGGCTACCATTTTATTGATTATTCCAGTAGGAAACAGAGCTGAATGACGCATATCATGACAGGAAAATCAGAGCTGCAGCCAGAGACAAGAACACAGCAGGAGATTTCTCCAGCTATTTTTAGCTAAGTTCTTTAGTTTTTCCCTGTGTTTGTTTTTTAAAGGTCTACATGAATTGTACCTGAATTTCAGTTTCCTCCTAGGTAGCAAACATACTCCAACCTGTACTCCCAGTAGGTCAGACAGAAAGCAAGGGAGCACAGCTGCCCCACTTTCCCTAGAACAAAAAATAAATAAAAAAATTAGTCTGTCAAACTTAGGTTTTCTGATTTCTTAATCAAATCTTTTTTAGCTTCTTGCTTAACTTTCAAAAGAGAGGCTCCCCTGCAACAAATAAAATTCATAGCAGTAGTTCAATTATTTCATTACATGAACTACATTTCCAGAAGGAGATCCTTTCATTGACCCCAGCCACTCCTCATACATAGAAAATACGAGAAAACTGAGCAAAACAAAACCCAAAATCTGGCATTCAAGTTAATTGGTTTTAGTGGATACTTAACAGCAAAAACCATATTAATAGCGGCTGTAATGAGGCCTTGGATTGTAGGAGTTGTAGCCATATTCCTACTGGGGGTAGTAAGACTGTCCTTGTCTGTGCTGTTGGTAGCTGTTACCCCAGCTTCTTCCTGGCCACTGATCAGATCTATTACCATCTTGCCAGTCGTGCCTATCACCTCTGCCTCTAAACTGCCTGCCATCTTGAAACCACCAAGCTGTATGGAGCTCTCAAATACTTCATTCTGCAGACAACTAGTAGTGATCCACAAAACAAATTTTGGGGGAACCACTTTTCTGTAGGACAGGCAACTGGAAAACACAATCTGTAATAGTGTTGATTTTAGTGATGGGAAGAGGGCTTACAGTGGCAGTGCTGCATAATTCTGTGTTCCCAGCCAAAGAATTTGAGTTTAATATTTTGTATAGGACGTGGGGTTTCGTTAGACTGCATTATCTTTCAATAATAAAAAAATTCACCATTTGTCACTCTTTTTCAATATCACCATTGTAAATGACCAGACTTTCATAGGACTTTGCAGTGAGTTTAAGATGGAAGATAAGTTTCAGTCTGAAAAGGGACAGTTTCAATCAGATGTTTCAATTGCTGCAAATTATCACAGAAATCATTATCTACATTTCAATTGGCAAATCCTTTCATTTTACAGTAATGACCAGAGTTTCATTAGATGATCTGCAAATGTCCAGTACCAAACTCCAGATCACTACTAGTCACACAGTGCTTTGCATTTTCAAAGTTCTTCACTAACACCGAATTAAATAACTTGTAAAAGTCACTTATGAGGCCTAATTCAGCACATACCACTAGAATACTGGTTTTCTGCAGACTCTTTAGAGAGATGTCTATATGAACCTTTCTTTCACAATAATGCTTTGTATTAAACAATATAGTATTAGTGCAACATTCTACTGTACTGTTGATCCCAGTTTGATACACCAGTTAAGTCACTTGCTACTTGTCTAGTAATAGCTGGAAACTTTTCAATGTCAACATGCTAAGCCCCCAGAATAGGGAGTGTCTCCTATACCAATTTACTACAGTGGTATGCAACCTGTAGTCCTTGAGGGCAACTGTACTAAGAAAATTTCTATTAAAATACAAATTGAAAATCTGTTCTGGAAGTGTTTCCTAGAGAACATAAGTATTTGAACAAAACCCACCACTTCAGGAATACAGTATTAGGCTCAACCCCCAACTGCTTCTCCTGAAACTTCTGATGTGAGGTGAGAGCACTGAGAAGTTGCTGTCCTTTTCCTGCTGCAGCTGTTCGCAGCTTCCCCACTACTCATCTGCTGCATGTCAGGAATGACATAAGAGAAGCAGATCAGGTTACACTATTCTCTGCTTACCTGCCAAGTTGCCGGAGTCTCTGGGAGAGCAGGATGGGAGCTCAATCAGCTCTGCCTTAACCTATAGAAATGCCTAGTGAAGGATGTCTCCTCACCCTCACACAGGGCAGTCAGGCAGAGGAGAAAAAAGAGAAGCTGAAAATGAACCACCAGTTATGGCTCCCTGATTCTCTGCCAGAGGTCAGTTTAGAGCCTTGGGGTTGTTCTACCTTGCACCAGTTGTAAGTGGTCCCTAAGGGACCACTAAACCATAAACCAGCTGAGGATTGCCAGAATGCAACATGCTTCAGTGGCTTCCCCTACACAACTTGACCCCAGCAGGGCGCATCAGGATGGAAGCATAAAAGCTAGCTAGGTATATGTGGATGGTGCCCTCCTGAGAAAATCTGTCTCAAAAAAGTGAGCGTGGTGTCTTGACTTTTTTGAAATAACATGTTCAGGCTGAAAGTGTTGGATACCACTGCTGTTCCAATTGCCTGATTCAGAAACAGCACTAATGAGCTTCAGAAGCAGTATTCAGTTCTTATTTGGAAGGATAGTCAACAAGATGTACTTTTGGTGGTTTGAGAGAATAAAGGAGAGGACCTTGGAAACATCAAAGGAGTGAAATAGGAGTGCTACCTTATCAATTCAAATCAGTTCCACTTTGTCCTTTTCACTCCAATATTGATGAAATACAGAGGCAGAAAACCACTCTGGAAGTATATATCCCATACATACAGAGATAACTTTAATAAAATATGTAAAGTCCCACAAGTCTACAGTGAGAAACAAAATCAAGACATTCCTAGTACTCAAAACTGTATAACAATTATACTTTCTAACAACTCACCAACAACCACATACCACACAACAGAACCACTAACCCAGGAACCTATTCTTGCAACAAAGCCCGTTGCCAACTGTGCCCACATATCTATTCAGGGGACACCATCACAGAGCCTAATAACATCAGCCACACTATCAGAGGCTCATTCATCTGCACATCCACCAATGTGATATATGCCATCATGTGCCAGCAATGCCCCTCTGCCATTTACATTGGTCAAACTGGACAGTCTCTACATAAAAGAATAAATGGACACAAATCAGATGTCAAGAATTATAACATTCATAAACCAGTCGGAGAACATTTCAATCTCTCTGGTCACGCAATCACAGACATGAAGGTCGCTATCTTACCACAAAAAAAACTTCAAATCCAGACTCCAGCGAGAAACTGCTGAATTGGAATTCATTTGCAAATTGGATACTATTAATTTAGGCTTAAATAGAGACTGGGAGTGGCTAAGTCATTATGCAAGGTAGCCTGTTTCCCCGTGTTTTTCCTAACCCCCCCCCCCCCCCCAGACGTTCTGGTTAAACTTGGATTTAAACTTGGAGAGTGGTCAGTTTGGATGAGCTATTGCCAGCAGGAGAGTGAGTTTCTGTGTGTGTGTGTGTTTCCGGGGGGGGGGGGGTAGGGGTGAGAAAGCCTGTATTTGTGCAGGAAATGGCCCACCTTGATTATCATGCACATTGTAGGGAGAGTGGTCACTTTGGATAAGCTATTAGCAGCAGGAAAGTGAGTTTGTGTGTGGGGGGAGCGGAGGGTGAGAAAACCTGGATTTGTGCTGGAAATGGCCCAACTTGATGATCACTTTAGATAAGCTATTACCAGCAGGACAGTGGGGTGGGAGGAAGTATTGTTTCATGGTCTCTGTGTGTATATAATGTCTTCTGCAGTTTCCACAGTATGCATCCGATGAAGTGAGCTGTAGCTCACGAAAGCTCATGCTCAAATAAATTGGTTAGTCTCTAAGGTGCCACAAGTACTCCTTTTCTTTTTGCGAATACAGACTAACACGGCTGTTACTCTGAAACCTGTCATTATGCAAGGCACTGCATTTAGCCGTATGGAGTGGAAATCTATCAACTGCATGAAAAAACTTGTACAGATACAGACAGACATCATCTTCCTTTCCAAATGCAAACAGATGGACATCGTACCAAAAGGACTGAAGGTAAAAAAATCCATTACAATCTACATACCACACAGACTATGCTGACAGCTTGTGCCACACGCTCTCAAAGAAACTGCGGAATCACCTGATCAACATCCTCTACAGCAAACAGGGAAAGATTAAGAATGAGCTCTCAAAAATGGATACTCTCATAAAAAACCAACCTTCCACACAAACTTCCTCGTGGCTGGATTTTACTAAAACTAGACAAGCCATTTACAATGCACACTTTGCTTCTCTACAAAAGAAAAAGGACACTAAACTTTCTAAACTACTACATGCTACAAGGGGCCACAGCAATGGTTCCTTCAACCCACCCAGCAATATTGTTAACCTATCCAACTATACTCTCAGCCCAGCAGAAGCAGCTGTCCTATCTCGGGGCCTCTCCTTCTGCCCCTCCACCCCTACGAACATGATACAGTTCTGTGGTGACCTAGAATCCTATTTTCGACGTCTCCGACTCAAGGAATATTTCCAAAATACCTCTGAACAACATAGTAATCCACAGAGGTCTCCCTACCAACACTACAGAAAGAGGGATTCTAGGTGGACTCCTCCTGAAGGTCGAAACAGCAGACTGGACTTCTACATAGAGTGCTTCCGCCGACGTGCACGGGCTGAAATTGTGGAAAAGCAGCATCACTTGCCCCATAACCTCAGCCGTGCGGAACACAATGCCATCCACAGCCTCAGAAACAACTCTGACATCATAATCAAAAAGGCTGACAAAGGAGGTGCTGTTGTCATCATGAATAGGTCGGAATATGAACAAGAGGCTGCTCGGCAGCTCTCCAACACCACTTTCTACAAGCCATTACCCTATGATCCCACTGAGAGTTACCAAAAGCAACTACAGCATTTGCTCAAGAAACTTCTTGAAAAAGCACAAGATCAAATCCACACAGACACACCCCTGGAACCCCGACCTGGGATATTCTAGCTACTACCCAAGATCCATAAACCTGGAAATCCTGGGCGCCCCATCATCTCAGGCATTGGCACCCTGACAGCAGGATTGTCTGGCTATGTAGACTCCCTCCTCAGGCCCTACGCTACCAGCACTCCCAGCTACCTTCGAGACACCACTGACTTCCTGAGGAAACTTCAATCCATCGGTGATCTTCCTGATAACATCATCCTGGCCACTATGGATATAGAAGCCCTCTACACCAACATTCCACACAAAGATGGACTACAAGCCGTCAAGAACACTATCCCCGATAATGTCACGGCTAACCTGGTGGCTGAACTTTGTGACTTTGTCCTTATCCATAACTATTTTACATTTGGGGACAATGTATACCTTCAGATCAGCGGCACTGCTATGGGTACCCGCATGGCC